CACCATGGAAATCGGTTGCATGTCTTTGTATTATATTATACAGTCAAACCTGTGTAAAACGGCCTACAATGCAGCCATAAAGTAAGAGAAAGCACAGACAACGGAATAGGGATTGAGACAAAGGGCAATGTGATTGTAACAGCAAGATGTGTAATGAGTATTTTTAGCCAAGCCAGCATGGTTTATAATACACTTAATCTCTCTTTTCATTTGTCCCCGCCTGCCATCCCCCCACCGCACCTTGGCCTACCCACAAACTGTATAAACCTTTTCGATGATCTCCCCACGAGTAGGCTATGGTGGCTGGCGGATTTTTTTTTTTTTTTTCAAAACACGACTGGCTCTATCACGCACGAAACACCTCGATGCCATGACATCACAGCACAGCATTTATAACCTTGTGCTTCCAATGTCGAGTCGAACTGTACAAGGGTGAGTCTGTCAGCCTACAATTTTTAAAATTTTTTTAAACCAGCATTCACTGAACTTCGAAATGACGGTGGGTACTCATATAAAATAAGCCTTACACTTCAAATCACATTGTCCAAGGGGAGTTAAGTATGCCAGCTTACACAAAAAACATTCGCTGCGCTTTGAAGCGGTGGTGGGTACCCTTATTGCCTTGTGCTTCGAATGTCGAAATTTGCAACGGGAGAGCAGCTCGAATCAGTATGCAATGTACGTAAAATTTCCGACTGCACTTTGAAGCAATGGTCTATTGAGTTATTAATGGCATCATGAGTGCCTTTTAGAGGCATGTTTTATAACTCCTTCTGGCTCCTCTTATAACTCTGTCCCGTAATCATCAACTTGAATGTAACTCCGAATTTACCTCAGAGAATTTAGATATATTTTATAATGCTAAAATTCTACTACGCGTTGAGAAAAATTAGAAGGAATCCATTATGGAACAAAAATCACACAGCATTCGAATGGCTCTGCCACGCTTTGAATAGCTGTGAATAGCGCAAAAATCATGAATGTCGCATAGGGAAATCGAACGGGCACAGCTCTACTGTACGACTGAACCCATGTCAGTTTCAGAGAGGCTTAAACTTGAATATCACCTGGGAGGTGTGACCACAGCTTGTCGACTGGACAGGTGACCCAAACCTTCTGGACTCCGGGCCTCACCCCTCTCGCCACGAATAAAATTCCCCTGTCCGAGATGGAATTTTTTTCTGGCACCCTGGAGGAGTTCCGCAGAGGGCCGACACTTACCGTGACAAGGTCCACGGAGCAAACTATACAAGAGTTAGGGTTAGGGTACATCGTTAGAGTTAGGTTTAGGGTTCAGGTTAGGGTGTTCCGCTTTCAAAATATCTCCTCTTTTGTGTGTTGTTGGTCGATGGCCCTCTGTGGAACTCCTTCCCCATTCTGTCTTAGGAAGGTTTGACAGTACAGGACACAGGTACAGTAACAAGGGACTGGTGTTAAGACTTAAACAAAAACTAGAATCTAGAAACAACTTCATTTTGAGTCATGCCAAGTTTGAGCATTCTAAAAGTAGTAAAAGGCCCCTACTAATTATTAGTCTGAGTAGCCTACTGTAACTATAAGGGCCTATCCTATACTATACTAAAACTATCTATATTACAACTACGTATAATTAACTCTATCTGTACGTCGTGTTTTACTGTCGTATCCATACGACATGGGGAACTCTGTGCCACCACTCACAACTTTCCAAAGAGAAAATCTACTCATTATTCCGATCGTTATAATAAATGCTTTGCATAGCAGTCTGTCAAGATGATATTTTGAGAAATTACTGACTGAAAGTTTCAAAAGAGATCTTCGTACTAGATCTAGACTAGATCTAGAAGTATTCTAAAATGTGAAGATTACAATCCCGGGGGTACAAAATGACCCCAGGGTGTACGGATAGAGTTAAAGCCAGGCCCATATAAAATTAAACAAAGTGACTATTTCTCCGAACGTTCAGGAAAATAAAGTTGAACTCTATTTCTCCGCATGGTTTCCGATCTCGAGATTCTTTAGGTTATTTGCGAGATTTAGGCGTCATCCTTTCATTCCGCCATTCTGCGAGGACTGGGAAGAAGCATTTTTTGCATCAAATTCAATTTCTAGAGCTAGAGATTTTTAAATGTCTGAAGACAGTGGAACTCTGATTCAACAAGCTCGGATTCAACGAGAGGAGGTAGATTCCCCGATTTTTTTTCTTCTTTAAAATCAATAAAAATAACCAGGATTCAACGAGCACTTAAATTAGCGATTCAACGAAGTCATTTCAAGGGTAAACAGCCCCCGCAGACGTGGCTTCGCTCATTTTTTTCCAAGAACGAACTTGATCTATTCCTGGAAACCATCCATTGCACTTACATTGTGAAACTAGGCTATTCACTTAAGCCGATTGCATGCGACCAATCAGCGGTCTTTTTTCATACCAACACATGCGTTGTTAGAACGTGCACGTGTCTACTCCGGTGTGTGTCGGGGTCGGATGGGCGGCCTGCACACGTGTGGCAGTGTGTGCGTGTCGGGGAGGGGCACTAGCAGTCCGGGTGTTGAACGTCGCAGTCACAGTCTTTTTTTCCCCTCGGCAACTGATCGCTATTACAATGATAAGCTAGTCTTGACGTAAATCTACATAATGAATTGTGCGCTGGTCTATGGAATCAAAAGTTGCCGTATCCTAGGCTATACACAGCAACAACTTTTTGGTAAACAATCGAGAAGTTAAAGTGTGCATTTGAACGAATCGGTCTTTGTTTTACACAGCTCATAATATGCAGGCATTTCAGGCACTACATGTGACTTCTCTTAATACATTACTTGCTCAGTGCCTGTAATTACCTTCACAAAACCTCGTGTTTGCTGAAATTCAGCGAGATTTTAGGTTAGGCCCGGCGACCTCGTTGAATCTGAGTTCCACTGTATTCAGATACTTCAGTCGTGGTTTGGACAACGTTCGCGGACTATACTTCATTTGAAAATATCTTCAGAAGGAACTGCGAGAAAACAAGACTGCTCGACCTTGGCAGTAACTTATTTTGCATTTAGCTACCCAGCAAAAACTAAAATCCTTCATGTAAAAAAAAAAATCCCTCCACGCCCCCCCCCCCTCACCCACCTGTTCACACCTTACACACACACAGACATACACACACTCACACACACACATGCGCACACACACACATGCACACACACACAAACACACATGGGCCACTACATTCACTTATTATCGACAAATCTCGAGAACGGAAACCGTTCGGAGAAATAGAGTTCAAGTTTATTTTCCCGAACGATCGGAGAAATAGAGCCGGCCAAAATTAAAAGCCAGTCTCGCAGTCTAGCCGTACTTATTCTTAATATGATGGCTAGACTGACCATTTACAAAAAATAGGCCTACTGAATTGTAAATATACATTTTTAGTTTTTAGTGTGCAGTACCTAAAGTATTTGTGTATTTGAGACGAAACCAGGGGCCTTAATGACAGTGCATGTATTTTTAACCTCCTGTTTTCTAATGTTAATAGGGCCTAAGATAAGTACGGCTAGACTGGCAGTCTAGCCGTACTTAAGTACGGGTAGACAGCCAGGCTAGCCGTACTTAAGGACGGCTAGACTGTCAGGCTAGCCGTACTTAATATTGATGGCTGAATTGTAAATGAAATTTTTAGTTGGCCGTCGTTATTCGGACTCGAGTCCGAATAACATTTTTTCATATTCGGACTCGAGTCCGAATAAAAAAAATTCTTATTCGGACTCGAGTCCGAATATTAGTTTCCCCCACACCTTTTCTGCCGATCCGATGCCCGCCTCCTCATTGATTATGATTGATCCGCCCCCCCCCCCCCCGCCCCACCCCCCATGTTTCCCACTTTCTTTGTTGTAGAAAAAGGTAAAATTGAAGATTAGCAGACCACCTGGCACCTGCATATTATGAGCTGTGTAAAAAAAAAAGACCGATTCTTCCAAATATACAAGCCTGTGTCATCTCGATTGTTTACCAAGAAAAAGTTGTGTTGCTGTGTAGAGCTCAGCATACGGCAACTTTTGATTCCATAGACCAGCGCACAATTCATTACGTAGATCTATGTCAAGATTAGCTTATGGCCTATATTATTGTAATAATGATCAGTTGCCAGGGGGAAAAAGACTGACGCGTATGCGACGTTCAACGCCCGGACCGATAGTGCCCCCCCCCACCCCCCTCCCTGACACGCACACAGCCACACGTGTGCAGGCCGCCCATCTAACCCCGACACACGCTAACGAGCCATCTTTAATTGCTTCTGACGATCTCTTGACAAATAAACATTTATTAGAAGCGCTATAACTTTTCAGGCCGGCCTCAAATTCATCATAAGATAACAACTCGGCTGCACAAAACGCCTTTTTGCCCGAGGTAATCCCGATCTCTACCCAGCCTGAGGCGAGTCACGAGTGAGGCAGGACAGGAAGCCGGAGTCACGAGTCACAGGAAGTCGGAAGTCGGAAGTGATGTCATGCTGGACAAGAATCAGAGTCCGAATAACATTTTTTCATATTCGGACTCGAGTCCGAATAATGCAATGCCTAAAGTATTTGTATTTCAGACAAAACCAAAAGGTGCCTTACTGACGCATGTATTTGAACCTGAATAATTACTAGATCTAGATTTCTAGATATAGATTCTAGATCTAATGAGACCTGTGTACTTAACAGGCTTGAGTCGATAGGGCCAAACCTAGATCTAAGTACGGCTAGACTGGCAGTCTAGCAGTACTTAAGTACGGCTAGCCACTTCGAAGAGTAAATAATAGTTCATTTTAAAGGCCTGGGCAGGCCTTTGTCATTGTCAGTTTGCAGACTGAGACAAAGCAAGCCATCCGCTTCAGCCGCTTGTGACAAAAGGTTATAGATCTAATTATAAAATAACATAAGAATAGTGTTTAAAAAATTCCAGACTGTTACTCAATCAAGTTACTGTTAGGTTTATCAAACCATAATATTATTTCACTGCTCTGCGGTCCCTCCAAATAATTACAACATACACGTACAGTGCAGCACTCCGGATGTTTGAGACAGGACGTTCGTCTACTTTCTGTTCATCCTGAAGACCACTGTAGTCTACGAGTCTGTTGGCCTAGAGATCTCCTGTGTTCACTGTTTACTGGTGTGTAGTGTTAAAACACTGGGCTAAAAGAAAGTAGGAAATAGTCCGGAAGTTAGTGGTAGTCGTCTCCCTTTTTTATTGGGATAAGCCTATTTGGTTTATAGAGGGGTACAGGATCTATAAAAAGGACTTTGATGCAGAAAAAGAATTCTGCTATTGCACATTAATTGTTGTTATATTTGCAGTGTAATTCTACAAATCATTGCTTGCCAAATGTGTATTTACATTTTTTTTAACCAGTTTTATGTCTTGGCATACTTTCCTATTGTGTATTTACATTTTTTTTAACCAGTTTTATGTCTTGGCATACTTTCCTATTTATTCTTAGAACAAGCCAACTTGAACCTCCCCCGGACATAATGAATTGTACTTCCTGTAAGGAACCGCACATTCCACTTTCTCTTGTTATGTCCGACTTCGGGTTCACAGTGGAGAACCGACTGTTGTATTTCCTCACTGAAATGAGAAGTTAATATTTGAAGATTCCTTTCAAATAATGTTCAGATAGATTTTTGTGATAATGGGTTCTGGATCTAGCAAGGCTAATAACCAACTTACGCTACACGGTAAAGGCACAAACGGTCCCAACTCTGTTGCTAATGTAAATAATGGCGAGTCAACGGGTTGGCCGCAGCGTAATGTGAGTGACAATGACAGAAAGGCGGATGAAAGAGGGACGTCCACCGTATTGGGTGACAAAGATACAAACATTGACTACAATAAGGATGGTTTTGGACGCTCAAGTCCATTAAAGCCAATTGAGCCGAATAAAAAGGACAAAGAGAAAAAGAGTAAGGAAAAAAATAAAGATAAAGGTAATGGAAGTGCATTGCAAAGCAACAGAAATAGTCGGTCGAATGTCAGTGCTTTGGTGTTCGAAGGTGATTCAGACTTCGATGATGATATTGATGAGGTATTAAAGATTCCTGTTGCAGCAGATACTTCAAAACACAAGGACAAAGAAAAGAAAAACAAAAAGAAAGAGAAATTGAACAATGATGAAAATAATTTTGACCAGAGGTATGACAATGGAAAAATCACTTCAAGGGACGAGGATGAACCTTTGCCTGAGACGTATGCTCAAAGGCTTCAGAGAAAACAGTATAAACTCCAACAAGACATGCTTTTACGGGAAAAAACTATCATGCGGAGTTCTCAAGAATGGGATCGAAACGACGATGATGTAGGCCTTCAAATGGAAGTCGTAAGTTTGAACAGCTTTTTTAGAACAGATATATATGGGTTTATTAAACTTTCCTTCGATTGCTAGCTGGTCATTTTTCAAATATCAGTAAGATCACAGTGAATTAAACATTAAGGTTTCATCAAATAAGCTCCATATCTTAGTTACGTGTGTAATAAAAGTTAAGCTAGGGTGCCACTAGTCCACCATGACACTGACAAATTAGGTTTACCATGTCACAATGTTAATGTTTCTGTTCTAGAACCTTCTTGATGTTCTACCTTCGGACCAGTCTGATAACTCTGTAACTTGACAGTCTAATAGTAGGCTTATATACTACAACCCACAACACTAAACATTTTCTTGTTGCCTCTGCCTTTGAACAGGCTGGGCCGGACTGTCATCAGCCGCAAAAAATTGTTTTGTTCCTTAAAAGCAAAAGGATAGTAAATATTTTGATAGTTCGTATCTTTTGTTATTTGCAATGGACGATCTTGATGTCATTTAGGAAGGCAATGAACATATCGCGCTCATCCTTCTTCCACATCCTCCGACAAATGTTATCAAGGTGGCCGGGACTGGAGGTGCTTCCTTTAAAACCTCGTTTCTTCATAAGGGTTTGAGTTCTCAATTAACACAGCACAGGTAGATTATAGACGATCAATTAGGCAGGACATACAGTACAGTAGATAATTGTAATAGTCTGTCGAGTGGGCTGGCACTTTGTAATGTTAAGTTTGTACATCTCAATGATCACTGTATGTTGTTTCCTGCTATTGTCACACACATATATAACTGTGACCCCTCAGCAACCCCAGATGCTGCGCAATAAGTCAAGCTGTTCAAAATGGGATTCCAACATTTCATTTATATCATTACTTGTACGCTATCTTGTTAGCGGAAAGTTTTGGAAAGAAGTTTCACTGTTTCCAATTTCTAAATTCCATTTGTATATATTGTTATAACAATAATTGCTTCTTGATAGATCCAGTCAGTTTTTATATACTTTTATTATAACTGTTCTTTTGCATTGTTAAAGCTGGGGAGGGTGTGTGTGTGGGGGGGGGGGGAGGGGGTTGAAGGGTGTTGTTCAAAAGCATGTATGTTAATTATGTGGTTGTGATGCTTGAGACTTGTTGTTTACCTTTAAAGCATTTAAAACAATAGTATTATACTTGTAATATTATTTCTTGTGAGTGTTGTTTTACCATTTTGTAATTGCTGTCTCCATCAGGATTCACCTCAAGGAGGATTTGATCCTTCCAAGTTCCGTGCTGCCAATAAGGGACATGTGAGTCAAAGTGATGATATACCTTTGTTCTGAATATGCACTGTGACTCTATGTAAAAGGCTCTTTCTCCCCTATCAAATATCTATCGTTCGTCCTTTTCTCTCCTCTTTCTTTATTTTGTATGTTACTTTCTAGTAATACTTCAGGTCCTATCTTTGGCACTATGACCTGTTTGTATTGTGAGTGATGTAAAATATTAAATAAAACTAAAACGAAGTGATAGCCGTACCCACAGTGTACAAAATTAAGACTCTTTTCACTCTAGGAAATGAGTTTGACACCTGATGAAAACAGGTGCTGTGGTGGGTTTTTTATGTAGATGTTTGAAGATTTTGAATGCTGTTACTTTGTTTCAAAATACCAAATGATTCTCAGAATATCTGTGGAGACTAGCTTACAGTTCACTGGCCAGTTATGATGGTGTTTATATATATGTAAGAGTTGATAAAGAATGGGGGTGGGGGAGCAAATGCTTGCCCTAGTTTCAAGATGAATGGTCAATCCTATTTGAAGTTTTCATTCAAACTAAAATGCTACAGATCCTCATGAAGTATGCACCATTTTCTATTATGTAGGCTACAATGAGCGTGTAGCTTCCATTTTTTAATGTCTCTTTTCAATGATGTTGATGTATACTTCTTATTTTTGTCTTCAGGATACAAAGAAAGAATTATTCACTACTGTTCCTGATGGTAAGTTACTACCACTGTGGAATTTCTTTACTTTAAGTTGTCAATATTCATGATTAGGATATATATATCTACTAAGCTTTCCAGTCGGTGAAAAAATGGCTGTACAGTCAAAATTGTTGAAAAAGACAGCAACCCATTGTCTACAGAAAAGTGATTGTCCCAAACAGGTGGACATGATACATAATGTCATGATATAAAAGGACACGCCAAGAAAGGAAAGTGGCCATTTGTACATGTGATTGTCTTATACAGTGGCCATTAGGATAGGTTGGAGTTTTCTTGGTATGTTACTCGTATCATTGATGTATGAGCTTTTTATCTGGGTTATAAAAGATCAAGTTCATAGTGTGATATCATATTGATAACAACAGATGAACAGATTAAAAAATATAGTATGTTAACTGAACGTGAGTATGACAGAAAATACTGTCATGTCAGTGAAAGTATTTCTAGTGGTGTTGCCATGGATTTAAGATCACATTTTAGTCCAACCAAAAGCACTCTTGGTTTGACTTTCAGAATTGTCTCACAAATCCCCAAGGATGAACTCATACAGCCCTTTAGGGTTCATGCTGGCTGCTGAGGAAAGCCCTGGATACAGTGATAATATTGAATTGTATTTATGTATAGTCCCGTCGCCATGTCGTTATATTTAGTGAATAAGCCCAGTGAGCTGGCAGAATGTTCCCTCTCTGTCAATGATCAAGTTCTCAGCTTAAATAATAATGCCACAAATTTACGTAAATGTTCATGGATTCTTCTCTTGTTTGTTTTCAAAGATCTGCAGACTCCAAGATACCTCCAGACCAGTGGGCAGGATCTGGACGAAGTGGAGGTGGACAAGAGAGGAGTCTCCCCGTAAGTGCCTTACCTCAGGGGTTCCCAAATTTGTGATATGGCATTGGGGGTCCAGTGGTTAGGCTGTCAGGCTCACAACTGAAAGGTTCAAACACATTTTCTCCAGTCTGTGGGGGAGCCACTGGGAAAAACAGAAAAAGCCATTGGCCTTTATGGCAAATTGTAAAGTGAAATTAATACTATTTAAAATTTTTATGTTAGCTAGAAAAATTGTTTTAGATTGAAAATATATATATATTTACACTGATTTTTTAACATTTTAAAGTCTAAAAGCTAACCAGCCGTGCAGTGAACTGTTGCGAATGCAAACAACTTGTGCTTCGCGCGCTCATATGACCTTATGCAGTTGCGAGCGCCGTAAAACCCTATACAAGTAAAACACGTTTAGGGGCCCAAAGTTGTGTACTTGGGAAAGGGACTTTTCATAAATTTTCCTCACTTCACCTAGGTGGGATTGATATCCTGCAAAATGGAAAAAGATCTTGTCAGTTTTTTTCACGCTCATGTATTTTGTGTTAAAATGAAGGTATTGTAAAGGGCCTATAGCTGTCCGCCTTTTAAATAACGTATAGTGTTGATAGAGGCATTAAATGCATACCATTTCATCTTTTTCAACTCTCTATTGTATGAGAGTGGATGCTATAGAAATTATCTTCATGATAATGATGATTTTTGTTGTTGTTGTTGTTAGCATAAGTGGCTTTTCTTTCACTTCTAGGGTAAGACTTCGCCTGACTGTATGTTCTGCAGAACAACATGTATCATAATCAGATGTCTAAAAATAGTAATCTTTTACTTTATGTTAAAATCTCTGATAGACCTCTTTGCTTGCGGCACAATCAGAGGTCATTACCCTCTGCCCTCTTCATGACCGTCAAGTGGGTGGTTGGCATGTGCTCTGGTGTGGTTTGCTCCTTCTTTTCTATCAAACAATAATCATCTTTATCTCTATAGTAATACCTCTAATCTCGAACATATTATATAAACTATTTATGTTGCAAGTGCTGTAAAACTCTAATTAAAACTAATGTATAGGACCATCGCTATAAAAGATGTAATTATTTTCCAGGAGCAAACAACTTCCACGCTACAACCAGTCAGAACTGGATCTGATGGAGCAGTTGGAACAAGAAATTTTATGATGATGCCTCTGAGGTCGCAGGTCACAAATGCGTGCATACAGAATCTTGCAGCTTAAGACAGAGTTTGTGAGTTTGGCCTATCTTCAACTTGATCTGGAAATTGACGACGTGATTTGGATTTCTTATTGAAGACTTTATAATTTATTTCGGTCACTTCAATTGACACCTATAGAGACCTCAGGCTGCAGTGCTCCTGGTGTTGTGTGAACTCTTTGCGTAATTGTTCCATCTTATGATATATTGTAAGCTCAAGTTTTGAATCAGATGGAAGCAATCTCAACCAATTGTTTATTTTTTCCCGAGGCATAAAAAATAGATAAAAGTATTTTCATGACACCGCGAGGTTTCTCAGAAGTCTTTTCATTTTTTGAAAACTGACCTGAAATTCGGAAATGTAGGGCGTAGCGTTTTGTGATATGTCACATTCCATGTTCAATTATTCTTGTTTCCCAATATTTTTTGTATTCATTAACGGAAAGTTTTACGTTTTTATTATTTAGATGTATCTCAGCCTTAAAGTGTGAAGTCATTTTTTTAGTTCTTTATATCATTTGTGTGTGGATGAGTAGAATAAGGAAATAAGGGCAAAGAGGGGGGATCTAGCTATGCTGACATTTTTTGTGTGATGTTCGTGTTGTCAACTAAAATGGTAAAGCAGTGCCCATTTAAAGCAAGGAAAAAGCTATACATTCTAGATGCGTGTGTGAGAAAGAGGGAAAGAGTGAGATTGGGTACACTGGAAAAGGGGAGAGTATGTGTACAGTGTTTGTAGAACTGTGTAACTTAACTCTTCGATCACCTTCTTAAAAATATGTCGATGAACATGTTAAGTTTAGAAATAGACAGTGTAGATTTGTAAGCTGCACAGATTTCTCTTCTAATCTCTATTTGGATTGAAGCCACAGTTTTTTCTATATCGGCATAAAAGAGTTGAAGTTTAAATGGTTTGATTTAATTTTTTTTAGATTTCTATGTTTCGTAAAAAATCTAAAGGAAAATGGTCAGAGAAATCAGAATACCTGGTCAGCCGAGGTCGTGCCAGTGGAGTGCCGTGTGTAACTACTCATCTGTCATCAATGCTTCCCACATTTTCTGTCTTGGCTGCATGTGGTGATATTCATTGTATGAAAATGCTTGTTGAATTTTTTAAATAGTTTATTATATTTGAAATTTATTTATCACCTGACTTTGTTTTAGATTGGACTTTTGACTGACGAGTGGACACCGGACTTAGAGTAGAAGATTCCAGGAAGGCTTAGGGAAATTTAGTTCCGCCTCAAATGTGAAGCTGGAATTTATGCCTATATTGATGATACCCTTATTCAACTGTGCCATTGTTGCAGATGAATGGGAATTTTTGTTGATTGTTGTATGTTAGATGACATTACTATAGTGCCTTCTTTGTTTTCTCCCCTGTATGTTTCAAGGTTTGTTATATATGGATTGATTTTGAGCCCGCAGTGCCTGTTTTTTCTTTTTTCAATATGTAGATTTAGGGTTTGAATTATTGCTTGAGTCTAAGTTGACTGGCTTTTTTCATCAAAAATTGTATTGATTTTGTCAATATTGTTAGATATATAGGAGTAGCATTGTTACACATGCTCCAGCCTTGTCACACTGGATGAGATAGATTTAAGGGTTTTGGCTTCATTTGCCTTTGCTTTCTCCCAGTGAACACAAGCACATGCCTGAGCGTACTGTACTTTTACATCTGTGCACTGAGCGCATGCGTCAGTTTGCAGTGGTGTGAATCAAGAAGTAGGCCCACGGGAGCTTAGGTGCATGGGTCTTATAAGGCTTAGGGAGGGCAGGGCTTAAAGTCAAAGGGTTAAAGTGAAGGTTAGAGCTCAGGGTGAAAGGGTTAATGTGGAGGACTGGACTCAGAGGGTTAAAATGGTGGCCTGGGCTCAAAGGGTTAAAGTGAAGGATAGGGCTTGGAGTCCAATGGTGAAAGTGAGCCCTGCTCAATGTTAAAGGGTTAGCATAGAGGCCTGGCTCAAACTCAAGAGGTTAGAATGGAGGCAGGGGCTCAGAGGGTTACAGTTTGGACTAAGGTTCTGAGGGGCCAGTGTTTAAAGTGTTTAAGTGGAGACAACTGGCTAGACGATTCTGGTGTTTCAGCACTAGACGTTGATCCAGTTGTCTCCCTTTTGGTTCAAGGTCATGTTGTTGTGCAATGTGTGTAGAGCAGCAGGCACTGCGGGGCTGACCTATTTCTCTATACCTCACTGCAGTGACTTTTGGACTATATGGCATTTATCCGGATCCATCCAAACGCATAATCTTGTGTAACCTGCCCATCTGTTGTTCACCCACATTTTTAGCTCACTGTTTGATTCGTGTGCATAATTTGCAAGTGGTTTTTCCCCTTTGTTAACATTTTTGTGATGGTATTGTGTTGTGGTATATATTATATATATATATATATATATATTGCGATCAAAGTTATTTCATTGGCATAATTTGTCTGAGATGGTAAATGTAATAATGCTCTAGAGATATTAGGTTCTTGATCCGTTCTTGTTAGTATTTGTCTGTTTGTTAGAATGGTGTGTCATACCATTCTGCTCATGTAACCTGACTGTAAGAGTCAAGCCATCTGTCTTTGTATTTCCACTTCACAGTTTGTTTGGGGGGTTTTCTCACTGTGGTAAATGTATCATTTCTTAAACCGTTGACTCATAAAATGTATCATTTCTTAAACCGTTGACTCATTCATAAGACTATTCACCCCCCACCCCCAACCCCCCAAAAAAACAAAAACAAACCCACCACCATTCTGTGTTGTGGTGGTAAAAGGGTGAAGGACATGAGCCCTGGAGGTAGGCCTACAAGAAAAAAGCATAATATTTGCTATTTCGTATATGCTCTGAGAGTATTTTTACACAGAAAGAGATATTTTTAACTGCCATCAAGCTGGTATTTTGATAGAAGATTTGGTATCTTCTCCAACAGAAGTACACAGAGAGCAGCGCTGATGCTGAACGGTCGTTCATTGTTACTTTCAGTCTTCACATGTTACATTTTCACCAATGAAATGGATGAATGAACGTTGTCATGTCTAATTTTTTTGTAACTAACTCAATGTCAATAATTTTCAGTGATGAAAATCAGTCTCTTGACTCATATTATATTTTTACTGTGTATATTTTTTATGGTTGGACATATTTCTTTTTTAAGAATAGAATCAAAGATTGGATAACTTCGTCGGTTGTGAAACTATATTTAAGTAGAAATTTAATTGTGTTCTTGCTATTGTATTTACCAGCCATGACAGACAAATTAGAAATGTCTATGGTAAATTGTACTGTCTCATGCAAAGGATCAAATCTGGACTTAAAGCAGCTGTGATATACACTTGAAAAGGACATGTTTTTTTTTCCTTTTCCTGATTTCAAAAATGTTATTTATTTTTCATTCATTATACGTATTTAGTAGTATAAGATTATTTTGGAATTTCTTTTGGTGTAATTTATACCTTTGCTTTTATTTTTATGTCATGATTTTGTGTGTGAATACTTTTTCATAATCTCCATAGTTTTACTTCCTTCCAATTTTGTTTATTAATATACTAGTCCTAATTTTTGTGTGTGTTGAGCTTAGTCTGCAGTTTATTAGTATACCGTATCCCTGGACAAGAACATAATAATGTTTGATAATGTTCTAATTTAATTGATTTCACCTTAAATGTATTCAGGATAATTTTATTGAGTTTCTTACCTAGTAACAATTTATGAGTGGATGTTCATGTTCTTAGGTGAACTGAACGAAATAGAAATGTTTCTATGATTTATGTACTATGGCATGGTGATCTCAAAAAGTGCAGATGCCACAGAATGCAACATCTCATGTAAAAAATGATATGTAAATCAGATCAACAGCTTTAAGTACCTTAGCTGCACAATTGCACTAGTTGCAAAAAGTGAAACAGAGATAAAACAGAGAATTGCCATAATCTAAAGAAATTTTCAGCAAGATGAAATCTGTCCTCTCAAACAGAAACATAACAGTGAGCGCAAAAGCACAAAGATAAGAACTATGATAACATATAGGTGGTCAGTCCTTTTGTATGGGATGTGAGAGCTTGACGAAATGTTGTGTTTAAGACGTCATAGACTGAGAGGAAGGCAAAGGGACAGGTTGCTCCAGGTGGCTGGTTGTGAAAGATTATAATGAGAACCATCAGAAGAGATAGTTGAGATTTTTTGGCCACATAAATAAATCAAATGGACTAGAGAAAATGTTATTGTGTAGAAAGATACTAGACAGCAGGCGACACCTCCTTCAATCACAAATATGTCGATTTCTCCTCAAGATATATATGAGTATTATATTTTCATCAAAAACAAGACAAATGAACAAGCTGTAAGTTGATACCAACAAGTCCATGTGTCAAAACTTGATGAGTTCCTGATTCCTTTGTGTCGTGACACACACACACATGCAGTTGAATGTGCTCGCTCCAACAGCCACCTGCATAAGACAATCCTCCCTTACGTATATTATTTTACATTATATATTGACCCTGTGTAAGACGGCCACCTGTGTAAGATGGCGACTTTCTCCCCGGCGATGGGTGGCCTGTCGTCTCCGACTGTGTCTTTATGCTGCTGTCTCCCAGTTTTGATTTTATTATACGTGTATATGTGTGTATCAAGATTTTGTTATATTTTATACGAGTGTATAGTTATTTTGTTTCCCAGCACTGAGCATAATCCCGTAAAGTTAGCTTTGTCTGTGATATTTGGGTGGGGGTTTTTTTTGTTTTAAACTTTTTACTCATTTTAAGGCGTGTTTGTACTTTTATAAAAGACTTCTAACAGGACTTATTTAAGAGAGTTTTGCACTCATGACATGTACATGTATTTGTATAGATATATACATTTTACTTATATTTTTTCTAACATAATTTACTGGTTGCCATAGTTTAGAGATAACTGAAAGTAAAATATGGATCTGTGCTATAATTTTTATACAGATATAGGGGTTCATCAAATGTGAGATGTTGGAATGACCAAAGTTGCTATATATATATATATATATATATATATATATATATATATATATATATATATATATATACGGAAAGAACCACATTCCTTAAAAGTGTTATTTTGGAAGAGAACAACGAGAAATTGTTAGTCCTTGTTTTGTTTGATCTAGATTTTGAGAACTGAAATGTACTCACTAACTCTTCTCGCAGTGAAGAGGAATCACAGAAAATATTTACCTTCTCTCCTCCCCATGTGGGGGCACTTTGAGCCACCCTGAATAGTGCATAGTTAACTATTCTATTTTTGTGACTTTTTTTTCCTCTCTCTGCACTGTTTGGTTATTTTTAAGGCCGGACTTCCAAATGTGACATTTACCTCTGATAGTTTTTTAAAATAGTTTTGGAAAAAGTTTTACTGCACTTGCAACACAATAAAGTCATATTAGTGCCGAAAATTAGAGGTATTGCAAAAGAGTAATGAACGCAAAAAAGAAGGAGGGGGAGTACCAGAGCATCCATCAACCGCTCATTTATCTCTGATATGACAGAACCATGTAGGTAGAGAGCTTAGAGAACTCTCCAAATAATACCGAATCCGTGAACGTGCCTCTTTGGATTCAAACCTGAAGCCCTGTGTGATACAACTGAGCTAACAGCATGCCAGCTGCTCTCAGAGTGTGATGTCAAGGGACATGACTCTTATCTTTACTGTGGGAACTAGATAATTAGGGGAGTGGCACGCCCTTGGATGACGTCATGAGCCCGGCGCGAAAAATAGAGACGTCGTCTGAAAGACTCACTGAGGTATTCAGTCGAACTCAGGACCACGACGAGGCAGACCCGACGCCTCGGACCGCCAGGTAACTTTACATCAGAGCTGTCCAGTGAAATGTGAGATCTAGCTTTGACGTATTGAAAAGGAAAGTTTTTTTTGCTATCTTGTGTAAAGTTTTCACAATTTTCGACTGCAGAGTCACTTTTTGCAAAGTTTTTGCAACTTTTGAATTCTTGATGTTCTTATTCGTTTGTTACAATCTGACAGGTTTATTTTAAAGAATGACTTCTGCAATTGTTTCATGTCCGTGACAGTATGCAATCTGGCAGTGTAAAATCAAAGAATGAAGCTCTGTCATTATTTAACTTTTGGTATGTAATTGAGTTTTAAAAACCTGTTGTTATATCCTTTTTTGTTGTGGGAGAGAAAACGCGAGATGGAACCAAACCATGGATTAATCTGTATTAAAAACTGAACGCATTTGTTTGATCTTAAACATGAGAAAAAGTTACCTTTTTCTATTACGGATTATAGTATTATTTGACTAATCAAAAGATGTTTGTAGTAGATAATGCTCCACTGTTTTTTTCTTTCTTCTTGAAGTTAACAGCTTTCTAGTCAACAGGAGATCATTTTAAAAATGTAGCATTTGGTCCGGACATGAGGGTTTTGGGATCCATCATCTTGAAGTTGTTGTAGCTAGACAAACTTTAAATTCACTGGCTATCAGTGAGCGTTGATTTTACCTGATTTTTTCATATGTTGATTGTGATTGTGATGCATAATAAAATAAACATGTTAGTTAAGTTACCCGCCTGTGAATGTGCCAATTAGCTTTGACTTTTTTACCCCTTTGCTGTTCACCCTCCACCCCCACCTACCTCTTGTGATTTAATATCTTTTTTTTTTCTTACCATATTTATTTCTTGTATGGATTATACACCAACTTTGTTTTGTTGTCCCATGGTGTAATTTTGATTTTCCAAGTCTGATTTAACAATTAAAGTATGACTCTGATGCTATTTCTTCCATTATTGCCCTTTGTTGCATTTTTTAAATGTGTGTTTGACCGAACTTTTGTGTAATGTTGTGTGTAGAAAGATGTGAGGTTGACTTTACTTGGTGGGTGGATGGCGGGTGCTCTAGTGTGGTTTGCTTTTTCTTTCCTATGAAACATCTATCGTCCTTACATCCCCTTCTTCTTTTTTATGTTTGTTACTCTCTTGTAACACCTCTAATTTTCTGGCGCTCATATGACCTTATGCAGTTGCAAGCGCCGTTAAACCTCTACCAAAACTAGAAACTGACTTTACTTGTCCTGTTTCACTGCAAAACACTACAAATGTGAGGCATTATGGTGAAATCAGGCACTCGTCAAAATAATGATATCGAAGATATCGACGTTTTTCCTACTTTGGCAATTTTTACCAAAATCTTGTTTTTTGGCTTAGCACATTTTATGTCCATTTAAAAGATACATCTATGTGGATTTTACTGAAAAACAATGATTAAATGCTCAACAAATGTAAATGTTCAGTTTCCAAGGATTCTCAAGCTTTGGAAATCAGTAAACTTTGGTGGCCATTTTCTCACTTATTTTACCTCTAAAACTAGGCGTCCCCAACCTCTTTCAATCGCGAATATCTCAACTCCTATTTAAAACAGATGTGTATTGTTTTCATAGAAACATAGTCAAGTGGACAAGCCTGAAGATAATACCAATAACTCTTGATTCGCAAAAATTGACGAGCACCTGATTCCACCACGTCGTTACACAAATGTCGTTTTTAAAGTCAGGACAAAAACTGTTACCAGAGTATCTGATATGCTACGACAAAAAGGAGAAAGAAGTTGTGGGGGGGGGGGGGGGGTTTGCACTAAACGCAGTATGTCCCTCTTTTAAAAAATAGACCCTCTTGGGTGACATTTAAAAAAAATAAAATGGATGATTTTGTTTGGCAAATTGCAAAATGCCCCCAAAGTTTGTACTCTAGTTATTTATCTATCGTCGTTACCTCTCCTCCTGGGGTCGTTTTGTGGAATTTTCAAGACTTGTCTACCCATACAATGTTCCAACAGACAGACAGAGACTCTAGAAAAAAAAATGAAACAACAAAAAAACTCTCCCCTCGAGGAAATCAACCTCTTGTCTTCTGCTTGTAATGGTGAAGCCCCGAATTGCTACACTACAGAGGTCAGTGTCAAATTAATAGCCCTGGTTCGAATCTCCAATCTAGTGGGATTTTTAAAATCGTGTTGTTTGGAGATTTTTCTAAGTCTCTCCACGCACATGGTTGAGTTACGTGCAGTTGAAGATGAACGTTAATTTGGAAGAATGTGTTGATATTACCTTTTTTTCTAGCATTCTTAATGTATGTTACTGAAACTGGTGAACACATTTACCATTTTTTAGGTGTAACAAAGCTCATCATAGCTGATCTGATCTGATTTTAATCCACCAGTGCCTCCTAAATGATATGATTTAGGTTAGTTTTAGTAGAGGTTTTACCGCGCTTACAGCTGCATAAGGTCATATGAGCGCCAGGATTTAGGTCGATTATGGTGTAAAACAGTAAGTTCCAAATGGAGGCCTCAACTTGACGATTACAACAACGACAACGACACCACCACCACCACTACCACCATCACCACCAACAACAACAACAACAACAATAACAACAGCTGCAGCAAGAACAACAGCTACAACAATATATTAACTACAATAAAAGTAACAATAATAACGAGAACAACAAAAGTAACAATAACAGCGATCGTAATAGTAACAATAAACAAAACTATAGAAACAACAAGAGTTACAACAACAACAATAATAGCAACAACAGTAATAGTAATAACCGGAACAACTACAACAACGCACCACCACCAACAACAACAATAGTAAGAACACAACCACAAAGCACCACCACTACAACAACAAAAACAACCAACTGAAGAAATAAAAAAACGAAACGTCCCAGCGACCCCATAGATGGTAGTAGTAGACGACAACATGCACATCTGGGGGGAGGACCAGGATCAGAAGGATACATATTAATACGTTAGCATTCTCTTCACGTCGATTTCATACACAGACTTCTGGCGGCTAGATTGTCTTCTCCGAAGCCAGTTTTTTTTTCAGCTTGAAAAAAAAAACACGTAAAAAATGGTTTTGTTTTCGTTCCAGATCTTCTTATAATGACTAGTCTCTGACGTCTTGATTGGGTGGGGCTTGCAGCTTCAGCCCCCACCTGGTTTTCTTCACCCAAAAAAACATACTTCGAGATATCTCTGACTTAAATCAAAACTAAGCATTTCACAAGGATTTTAAAAAGGACGAACCATAATACATATTTTAAAAAGTGAAACTCCAGTCTCAAAATGACATCGTCCACCCTCAACAGTGCAGCTAGATCAATTCTGCAATCATCATCATCATCATCATCATCATCATCATCATCATCATCTCTAACTAATAGTGTGTGCAATTCTTTCAGAATGAAAATGTGCTCTTTCACATTTTGGACCCCACATGAATGGCGGACTGATAGTCTTGTTGCATGAAAAGCCCCACCATCTTTCCGCGCAAGTTGAAGGATATAGTTCAGTATCTAGGCCTCATGGGGAGTCTGTACTGGTAGTGGCCATAAAAATGACTGTCGCAATAGATGGAGGGGGTAGGGGAAGAAATAGAGAGAATGGGAGAGGATGAGAGGGATATAGAGAGAGAAGCAGAGAGCACGGTTGTTAACGCGCTCACACACACACACACACACACACACACACACACACACACACACACACATAAACGTGCGCGCTTACACTCATAGACACCTTGACAGAAAGAATAGAAAAGAGGGGGGCGGGGCATGAAAACAGACAAACCGACAGACAATCAGACAGACTGAAACAACTGAAAGGAGTCCTGTTTCCAAAAAAAAAAAAATTTTAAAAAGGGAACCAACAAGAAAATTTGAATCAAGGGAAGTAATTCAGTATAACTTAGGTCTTGCAGAGAAATAGTACGGTTTCTTCGTCTTTTTCAGGTGTCGGGTCAAAAGCTGACATTGGCGATCATGGTACCCCACTCCTTCCTGGTGTCTGTCTTCTTGATCAGCATGGTTTTTCTTGTAGTGCTATTTGTCGTAAAATTGTTCAGGCCAGCTGTGTATTTTGTTCTTTGTCTTTCTCTGCTCTTCTTCCTCTCTCTATCGTTCCACAGAGCAACAGTTTCTCTAGTCCATTTGATCTATT